ATTACAAAATTACAAAAATCATTAAAATCACACAACATTTTTGTCTTTTTTAGGATAGAATTCGCATATCCTCAAAATTTTCAAATAATTCCAGAAAGCTCATCAGACTTCTTGCAATGTTTGTCAAATTCCAAGAATTTAGAAATATCTTACATCTTTCAGAAACCCCCGTTTTGATTTTTCGATGTAGCGATTTTTTCACTTCACAGCGATTAAAATGAAATAAATTAATGATCGGAGAATGGAAGTTTGGTTATTTTTATAAGAAGTCTAACGGTTGTTCTGACAACCAAGTTTGGGTGTTGGTGCCCTTGGAAAGATTATCCTTTTTTTTTGTTTAAAATGAGAATTTGTGTCATTCGCCCCAATGTCTCCCAAAGTTATCACAATGCATAATATTTATGTTTATGACAACAGAAAATATTTAAAAATGGCCACGTGAATCCATCATTCGCTCTCTTGGTAAAAAAAAATTAAATGCCTGCAGTAGCAAGCACATCATAAAATATTGCATCCAGTACGATTGATACTGCAACATCGCAATGTGTTGTCATGAGAGAAGTTAACACTTCAAAAGACTGCATGTGGGAGTACACTCATGACTTATACACTCAAAATTAACTGAGCTTAAAAACCCCAAAAATCCTTGCATACCTTGAAGCATCATTAAAAGGTATCAAAATTCTCTATATAAATATAATTTGCTAATTTTAATTGCTTCCCGCGAGAATTTGTTCCCGTGTATAAGTTAGAACTAGACCAAACTAGTGAACACAGATAGTAAAAAATAAACTAAGAATTCTTACGCTTGTTATGGTAATAATAAACATTTATGCCAGCAGAAATTTTGTCGTGCATCTTAACCAGGCGAATAAAATTTAAGTAAGAAGACACTTTGGTGTATAACGCATTCTGATCCATAAGATAGCACTTGTGTGGTACGTGACTCAGTACTCCTATAATTGTGTTTCTAATAATTAGTCCATTGCCACGGTCATTCTGTGAAATGTCAATAAATCAATCCACTTTGTTTATTATAATTGTTTAGCTATCATTAAAAATTCTATAAACTTACTCGGCACGCTGCTCCCTGTGTCTCGATACGGCCATAAATAATTTTCTTTGTTACTTTTATCTTCATCATGTTCATGGATACGAATTTTAAGTTGTTAAGGGTTGTTACATTAACGTATCTTAATTGCAACTCGTCATGATCATCATAGAATTCATGGAATTTATTGGACAGCATTATTTTATTGTGACTCTCTCCGTAACCAGATATTTTTGCATGCCCTTTGTAATTTTTTTTTTTTTTTGGTAAACTGATTTTCCCTAGTTGCGGGTTTAATTCGAGCATCAATTTTTCCTTCAGCTGGATAAAATAAAAAAAAAACTCACCTAATGTTCACCCTTCAAATACATGATTGCAGGTCATACATTTTACCTTTAAAACGGCAATGTCATCCTTGATGAAAATGCCATCCGCACTCATGACTCTGGAGTATCCTCGGGGTATGTAAACCCTTTCAACGTCGATCTCGATACCGCCTTTCAACTTCCTCCCCGCAATTATTTTTAATGATTTGTTTTTTTCACTATAATATGACATAACACAGGCAGCAGACGTGAGCACGAATTCTTCGTCAATTATACTGCCACCACAAACAATTTGGTTGAACGATTTGATCAAGACCTGATGCTTGAAAGTACCATCCCGCACTAGATCGCCACCCTTTAGACCTACGACTGAATGATTGTTTTGGTTAGTACAGAGAGTATCGTTTGTTAAAATTTAAAAAATTGATCTTCAAAATTAAAAAGACAGTAAAATGTTGTGCACGGCACTTGTACAACTTAGATAAGCAGTATACACTTGGGTAAAACTAACAAGCCAAAGATTGCGTTGGACAATATGTGTAATGTTGCTGAGACTCGCAATGTTTAAAATGGCATAGTACAAAATTTCGCAAAAGTGAAAGGTATCTTTTAATTATTACACGATATCTCACATATTTGCGCGATTTTCGTCTTATAACGGAACCTCGATTCTTGAAAGCACGAGGTAGATTAATGTATGCTTTTATATCTTTTATTAAACTTTAAAAAAAAAACTAATTTTTATGCCATGTTCGCAATAAAATAGCTATTAGTACTTTTAGAGTGGTATGCAGTAAAAAAAACTTGAAATAGATAGTGTTTTTATATACCAAAGCTGAAGGTTGTTGAAGTATCATTTTCGCGATTTGAAGATTCTTTACATTTAGCTGTCACACGTTAACTAACGATTTCATATGACACGGCGTATAAAAATTTTTTACAATATTTTACGTAGTGACACAAAAAATCTCCATAATGATTGCATAAATGCTTGCATTATAATAAAAAGACAATAGGGGTAAGTGTACCTATTTCCGTGGCGTATGTTAAGAAATCCAAATTAAATGCACCATAAAATATTGAGTAATGACAAAATCCTATGGATTTTTTTCTTAAGTCTTGCATAAGCTCTTAAAGATTATTTAAAAATTTTTTTCGAGGCTAAAAGTTGAATGGATTATTATTAAAATTAACAAAAATAGTATGCAGGTATTACCGTGGTCATGTACCTATTACCGTGTACATATTACCGTGGATGTCTCAATCACAGGCCTCACCACGGTAATACGTACACGACCGTCTAACATACTCTTGGTACCTAATACCGTGCATAAATATGATTTTCTCTATAAATTAATTATATAAATATTACATTTTTATCCTAATTTGAGCTATTCTTGGATATTAATATCAAATAATTTTTTTGCAACCGGTATTACACTTTTTCAAAAATTAAACAGCATTTTTGTAAATGCACGGTAATAGGGCAGACCACGGAAATATGTACACTTACCCCTAGCTGTCCAAAACGACCCGTAATGTATTAGGACTTACCTAGATTCACAAAATAAAATAAGCACATCACACACAGCAACACCACTACTATGAAATAATTTTTCATTTTTTTTTTTTTTAAACTTGGATGTATACGAAACTTTTGGGTATTATTGTATAAAATTCGAATGTAGGTACCTATACACGATGACGTCGTAAGCGAACCGTGCTTATTGCTAGCTTACAGCGGAATGCTCAAAACGTAGCTCTTAAAAACGAGAAAGAACTACATTTAAAAATTTCGAATGTGATAAAACATGCATGAGTCAATAAAAAAATTTTCGTTTTTAGTAACATACCTTATCTTATCCAGGTTTTTTTTTTCAAATCATCATTTAGTTATCAGATGTACAACAAACCGAGAGAGGAAGGGGATTACGAAACATCCAAAGTGTGCACTTCAATTTTGTAGTGAAACTATAAGAATGTTTATGTCAATGACGTTTATTTTGGCGACACCAAAGTGCAGTGCAGCGACTGTGCATTATCACAAAGCAGTTAAAATACGAAGTCAAAGCGAACCGCCTCGTAATTGACTACCGATGTATTGAACAGTCGTTGCATTGAGCTGTAGCTGCACGCACTGCACTGAGATGTCGTCTAAATCAACGTTGCTGGAACATGCGTTAATAATTTTACGATAATTTTACAATAATGGGTTGTCGGAGGAACCTGTTTATAGACGCGGTTAATCGATAATCTGAGCTTTTAGTATTCAAGACAATGAAGAAAATATCCATACCGTGAGAGTTATTTGGCTAACGTTTTGCACCACTTTTTATTTCACCAAAAAATGTGACACTAAATCATGTTACATTTATTTTGGACAAAACATGACGATTGTTCGTGGTAAAAGACAGTGTACTTATTGAAGTCACTTAATATCCCAAAACTTGTGAGGGTACCGTCGTTTGATAGTTTCAAAAGTGCGACCCAACTGAATTTGTGTCAATTAAGTTATTGCTTTTTAATAAGCATACAATATAAATTTCTTATTAAAAATTAATTTTGTTTTGATCGTTTGTATACACAATTTTTTAGTTAGGAAAAAAGTTTAGTAGCAATATGATTTTTAGTTAACGCATTACATTCGACTGTTGTTTACGGAAGTGTCACTAGACTTGTAGAGTTGAATATAAAATGTGTGGGAGACATCAAAGCCGGGTGATTGGTGGTTTTCTAATATTGGTTGGTGTAAGATTCGGTTGAACTGATTCGGCAATCGATCAAAGTCGTAGGTGAGTAGAAGCAAAAGTATGAAGTTAATGATACATTTTTTCAGCCGTTGAAAAAATCATCTTTTAATAATTGCTACGTGTAGTTTTTTTGTAAAATATAGTTTGTAAAGCAGCTTAATGCAGTAACAAATACACATTAGGAAAGCTCAATAATTAATGGATGCGGCCACGGTAGCACAGTAATTTAGGCTACGATTTTAATAGCTCCAGAGCTATTTCCATTGCTTTGTTTAAGGGAATTGATTCACAATAAATCTGAGGCATTTTTTCTATGCCAACGACGATAGCATACATATGCACAGTAACTCAGCAATGCAAAGCCAAATAGGACTCGTATTTATATATATATATACCACAGATAATTGTAAAATATTTTTAAAAATGCGTACGTGACGCAGAACAAACAAAATTCCGGTGGTTTTTGAATTCGTTGTCCAAGTCTACAGCGCTGTTTAGTTAATATTGTTATAATGACGAAGCTAGACTGTTAGAATGAGGGACGTGAAGAATCAGTGCTCGTGAGACTGATAATAATTTAAAAATTTTTGTTATCGTTTCTGCGGCAACAACAAGTGTAAAAACATACTTAAATGTAAAATACCACAGACTTGCAGTTTTATCATAACGAGAATGTCTAAAAAGTAAAAAGTCGCATACTCGTACAAAATTAATTATGCTTGACTAGGAAAGTTAAAAAAGTTAATTTGTAATGTCTTTAAAAGCCATTAAATCTCAACAAAGGCTTTCGTATCCAAAGAATTTGTTAATTTTATTATGCCTCGTTCGTTGGAACTATATAATTAATAATCACATACAGAAGGTTGATAATCACTATAAACACTTGTACAGATCAGACTTGAAGTCATAAATGCGCATACCAGTGGTAATTTTACTTTGCGTCTTGGCTCTGTGAATAAACTTTAGGTAAGAAAGTACTTTGGTGTACACGGAATGTGAATCAGCTTCGTTGCATCCTTGGGCTTCGAGGCTTAGCACTCCAATTATTGTGTTACCAGAAATTAGTCCATTTCCACGGTCAGTCTGTGAAATATCTATAAATTAATCCACTTTGTTTATTACAATTATTTATCATTAAAAATTATATAAACCTACTCGGCACACTCCTCCCGGTGGTACAACTTGTCCACAGATCATTTGATTTGTTACCTTCACTATCATCTTACTGTTTCTCGTACACTGGGAGTTTCGAAAGACCGTGACATTAGCGTATCTTAACCAATACGTTGAGCTGAGAATATTCCTAGAGGCTGTATTTTGAGGGTGAAATGTTTGTTTCCTGTTGAGCGTGTTGTGCATCCACCTGTTTTGCTGGCTCTCTCCGTAACCAGATATTTTTGCAGGACCTTCGTTATAATTACTGTTCCTTTCTGGTAAGTCAATTTTACCCAGTAGGGTGTTCCGCTCAAGCATCAAGCTATTACTCAACTGGATGAAATAAAAGAAAATTCACAGTACGTTTATCCCTTCGATACGTGATTGCACTTGATAAATATTTTACCTTTAAAACGGCAATGTCATCCTTGATGAAAATGCCATCCGCACTCATGACTCTGGAGTATCCTCGGGGTACGTAAATTTTTTCTACGTCTATCTCGAATACCTCGATGTCGTTTTGCACTTGTCTCCTCGCAATTACTTTTAGCAGAGTTATTTTTTTACCATGTGGCATAGCACATGTGGCAGACGTGAGCACGAATTCTTCGTCAATTATGCTCCCACCGCAATGCGTGCTCATTGTGTTCCACAATTTTATGGAGACTTGATGCTTGAAGTTACCATCCCGCACTAGATCGCCACCCTTTAGACCTACAACTGAATGATTGTTTTGGTTAGAACAGAGAGTATCGATTGTTGAGCTTCAATAACTTTAATTTGAAATCTCAAAGTAACTCTTGAATATCATATTTAGTACATCGTGCAACACCGCAACGTTGCCATAATATGCTTTCAGCTTTGTCATCAAAAAGGAACGTTAACTTTTTCTTTTTCAACTGTGTGTATCTCTTTGCGATTTTTGCAATCGTAAGAAACGTATGTAGATGATCGTAAAAAGTCACCAACTGTCGGTTATGATGCATAAGTGTCTTAACTTACCTGGGCTCGCAAAGAAAATAAAACACAACTTGAGCTGAAGTAGCAACACTTTAAAATAATTTTTCATTTTCTAAACACTTGGGTACACTTGATTTGTATTGGTTCTAGTTTTTATATTGTTCATTCTGGTTTTTCGCACGTGAGCTTTGCTTACCACTACGCAACTGAGTAGTGTCAGAAATGTAGAGAAATTACGACTTCTGGTCGTTTCCAGTGTGACACGTATCACAGGTAAAAAAAATTCAAATTCACGTCATATAATATAATTAGAACAATATCTTTTTTTTATCTTTTTCTTTTGTCAGCCCCAGCCTAATCACTGGGTAATTGATTCAGCAAGAAAATTTTTTGGAAAACATGATAAAAATTCGGCTATCATATCAATTCTATCACGTGCGTTACAAAAATTAAATGACGGTACACAATAAAGCGGTGTTGCGCTGATTTGACATGTGCATAGAATTATGTAGGAAAAAAAATCATTAGCAAATAAATAGCACACATCTGGTATTTGAACCACCTTTTGAAAAAAAAATTTTTTATTCCAAGCCCATTCGTTTCAATTCTCAAAAGATAATTTGTTTCGCAAAAGCTTACTTTGTATGTTTGCAATATGTGAGTGTGTGCACGAATGTATATTATATATACTTTCAATTAGTCATGAGTTTTCACAGGTTAAATGAACCCTTACTTATCTACTTTTATCATTCCATTAGAGTGTATATCATTATTTAATATATTTTAGTTGGGTGATTATTATATTTTAGAACATTGACAAGTTTTTAAAAAGTCATCAGAAATCAATGTTTAAAATAATTATCTTAAAACAATTTGAATGCATTATTTTGAAATTTTTCGCGCTGATTATAAAAAAATATTTCCTGACTTCTACGAAATTTTGTAGTACGTGCATTTTCACACGTAAATCAAAAAAACTTTTGATGCTGAAATAGTAATATTTGCTGGTATTTTTTATCAGTCTTGAGTAATGAGTTTTTTGACTCGTATAGAACAAAACTTGATTAGCTGAAAATAAATTTTTGACATAGTTTTATATTTGCCGTTATTCTTGAGATCTTAAATGTTTCAAGAAACAGTATCACCAGATGGTCGATTCAATCTCAATATATAATGCCTTTGTATTTGCCTCTCCTGAAATCCTGTCAAAAAAAGATGACGCAACAAAAGATACATTCTTCCAAAACATTTTAAATTCTCCAACTTTTTGACATTTATTGACATTACTAAATTGTATTTTTCTATGATTATCTCTCTTTGAGAAATTATTATCATGATTGTAGCCCAGACTCGATGAAAACTCAAGATTATGGTACAGATACATGATCCAGCAGTAAATTAAAAGAGCCTGCACTTTATGCGAAATCCTTACACAGTACGGACGGAGCGACACTATACACAGCAGCCCAAGCGCCTCTCGAGTCGCAGTTACTCTTTTGCTCTCATCACTCGGCTGAGAGCTGAAAGAGCCACTTAATTCTCTTTATTCCGGTGCGCAGATGTTTGCATTTAATTATTTTTTAATTGAATTCCGTACCCAGGAGGGCGAATCCCTTAGAAAAATCGACATCAGCTTCGTACAGCACCATCCCAGTTTGGTTTCTTCGATCGTCAGGTGGCAGTCGGAGTGAAGGATATAACGCGCTGATGAAGCAGTAAGTGACATCCATACCCACGTCGCAGAGCAAAGAGTGTGTAGATGAAAAAGCTACGATTCTTTGTGGTGAAAAATGATCAGGAGTACGCTTGCTTTACCCCTCGGGTCGGCAGACCCACTCAGGACACATGCGCTTCGGACTCGAGCACTTTTTTTCCCTTTCGCGGGCCATTTCTCTTCCTTAGCTTGTGATTTTATATACCCACTGTGTGGAATAAAAGTTTTGCGGGGCATCTCAAAAATTTCGCGGCAAAGTTGCGGGGGGAAAGCAGAGCTACGGAGAAAGGCTTGTAAAAATCTTGATCTCCCGGTGCACTGTAAATCTTTTTGCGAGATCCCGTTGAATTGGAGGATGGCTCGTGCATCGTTGTTTGCAAGGAAGTTGAAATGGTAATCGGAGTCGATGCGAGGCTTCAATTCGTACACTTTGATATTCCAACATGTAACGGCTCGTTATCATGTCATTCTCGATCATATCTCATTTTCCGTCGTACTGGTTATTTTCTGTGAAAAAATAACATTTTTATTACAATAAAAATTTTGACGAGGTAAAAGCATAAATATGGCTAAAACACTCATTGAAGCGGGAGATCGTTGGCTATTATTTGCACGTATTGTATTGCGCTAATTAAATCGAGTAAAAGCATACATTTAAAAAAGAAAAATATGTGTTACGAATAGCTGCGATAAAAACAGTTCAGGGCCATTGTTAAACTAATATCATCCACTACCTCGATGTATGTTTAATTTCACGCGTTTATTTAGTCTGTTGATTTTCTCCCTACGAGTTTTATATTCAATTTCATTCGCCAACACATTCAAACATAAATCCACGTTAATTGCAGCGCAAAAGTTTAGTATTACGATACACGATAATGGATTTTCAAGGAGTTATTTTCTGTTGCGAGTTATTTTTATTTCTATTCAGTATTTTTTGTTTTCTTTAATTTTTACAGTTGAATAAATAATTAAATGAGTGTTTTTGGATAGGCATCACTTCTATTTGTAATTTTAATACTGTATTGTTATTCAATATTATCAATCAAAAGAAAATATAAAAATCAAATGCAAAGAATTCTCACTGTTACGGCCTTGACCATTTTTTTTTATTTTTTTTTTTTTTACTTCAATAAATTTTTTTTCAAAGAACAGATAAAAAGAAACAAGTTTAGTAAAAAAATTGCACATACAACACACGATTCTTTCCACAACACCGTTCGAATCCATAAAAAAAAAAAAAAAAATGAATAAAAAAACCTAATGAAAGAAAAAGGGTTTTTTCACTGGAGAAATGCAATAAAAGTTTAACACATCAAAGTGGACTCGCCGTTCGTTCTGCATCGCATGATTATTTGTGACAAAAGGAATGTTAAATGTCGTTCGAACGAGCTCGTAATTTGCCGGCCAGCAAGAACACTCGTACAGTAGAATTACCAAGTCTAATTTCATTTCGACGAACCATCAGAGCGAGAAATTCGCCACTAAAACACCTCGGACATTACCTTCCATTTCATCCCTATCTCAATTCTCCCATTCTCATGTCCTAATGCACTTGAAATACTGTTCATCGGTTCATCTCACTGTAAGTAGCATTTAGTGCAGCGGGTTACATGTACTCGTGTCATATCTCTCTTTTTTCAGGCTCTTTAGTCCTATGCATATATTACACACTTTATGGCTAAAGTCTAATTTACTTGCGAGCTCACGTGCAAGGCTTTACATCTTATTTTTATGCACGTGCGGGGCTGAGTAAGTGTCTGCTGAGCAAAAGATTTTGGGCTGATGTATGCAGAAATTTACATACCCACGCGGGTACTTTTTCTCCGTAGTATCCCTTTGCATGGTTTACAGTTTGACTTAATGTTTTTACTTTATTTTTATACTTTCGGTAGTATAATCCGAGTTTGGTCAGACATGCGTTTTCACGATGATAAATATACAATCGAAATCGTAGTGTGGGTAAAACCATGAAAAACTGTAAATTGTTATTAGGAACAATATTTACTAACTGACAAAAAAAGAATTAAAAAAAAGATAGAAGTGATTAAAAAATACTCTGCAAGGGTTTGGTTAAGCTTCATACAATCGTTAATCATAAAAATCAATGTAAAAATGCCGATTTATTACCAACAAATAAAACGAGAAGATGACGTTTTTTACAAACATTAAGCTAATTTTTATGAATTTTCAAACGAAATCAACCTGTAGAAACTATTTGCAAGTAGTATAGTCCTCGTTTGGTCAGACGAGCCATCATTTTCTTCGATATGAAAATAAAAACCACTTGATCGAAGGCATAGAGCGTAAATCAGTTACACTGTTCTACGACCAATCGCTCGTAACTTAAAAAAAAAAAGGAATACAGGAGGAAACAAATAGAAATAATTGGGCATGGTTGTTAAGATTGATTTTTTTCTTCTTTTTTGTTTCAGATCTCAGGAAGTAGTGATGGACGAGGGCAGCAACGACGAACCACGGGATAACTCATCCAAGAATGACACGTAGTTAAATCTATGCGCAACAGTGAAGGCCAAGGTCAATGGCTTAATCCCATTGTCGAAAGAGAGAGAGAGAGATTTTCGTGAGCTCCGCAGTCGAACGATGGCTTTCGATGACACGAGTAGAGCAAACAGCGGTGGCAGCATCGGGTGCCCACCCGCTGGGAGCCCACTTATGGCATGTCACGTGAGTTGAGACACATACACGTAAGCTTGTCCGTGTCGGTGAGGCTTAAAAGCCCGTGCTAGGTAGCGAAAGCGACGATGACCGTTGAGAGGGAGACGGTCGAGGGTAACTCGATTTTCCCTCAGATGCGACGTGCACCGTGTGTGAACTATTTATGCGCGTGGAACGCCAAGTGGGTCATATTGGCAAAGGAAAAGCCCGCAACTATACGGGATGCCTCGGTGTGTTTCCTCTCGGTGAAGCAAGCTTGAGTATTTGCTTGGCCTCTAACGCTAATTATCGCTCAAAGGGAAATTTTTTTTCATTTTCTAATTGGTAAATGAAAAATCAGGCTTCCGCGGTACTTTTATTTCTAAATTTAAACATTTACCAATATACGCGTCTCGAATTATAATACGCCATGTACCATCGCGAACCCCTGTACCATATTAAATTTTAGTTTAAAAAAAAAAAAGTGTTATTCATAATAAAAAAAAAAAAAAAATTTAATTTTCTAGATACAGCGGATCAAGACTAGCCGATGGAGGCACGATTCATTCATCATCCAATGAATCCTAGAACGCTGAGTCGTTAAGTGCGAGGCCTTTGACATGCCGTCGCAGCCGCGCGAGTCGAATCTCACCTAGGCTCGGCCCAGCTCGCTGCCGTAGATCCCCCCCCCCTTCGACGTGTGACAAAGATACCTGATAAAATGAAAATGTTCTGACCACCCACGGTACACAGAACCGCGGGTCCAGCCTGCAGCCAAGATGTCGAGCGAAGTGGTGAGCGAAGGGCCTACAACCGGGGGCGGTGGTACCGTTTTGCTGCCGAGCGTGACTCGGCTGTCGGACGTGGTGGCCGCGGCAGCTGCTGGTCTCCAGCTGGCTCCCGTGACCATCGTCCTGGCGGCCTTTGTGGTCTTCTTCCTCGCGCTGTTCACCGTCGGCGGCAATTCCTTCATACTGGCTGCTTTTTACCGCTACAAGCGCCTCAGAACGGCCTCCAATTGCCTCCTCGTGTCTCTGGCGATTAGCGACTTTGGGGTGAGTTTTTCATGGTATATCACTCGATCCGTGGTATGTATACCTATTGCGAAGTCCGAGAGAAGTAACGATATCGGATAAATCGAGAGGGCTGACAACGAGCTACGATGGTAGCTTTGCTAAAACCAACGATATTTAGATTGTACCACTTTTTTTTTTAATTTTTTTTTCATAGATTTCAACATATAGATACACGAGTATAATATTTGTCGTAGCTTTTGGTGTTCGAACGATTATACGTGTAGGCGTCTCGACGGGTCAGCGAATTTTTGTTATCGTTCACACGCGACAACGACCGATCACACGCAATAAAATGGCCGGAAAAAATTACAATTTCATTAAAGTACCATAGAAAATTCCGGCAAATGCATTTACGATTGTCATTCAAACGCGTGACGCCGAAATTTGATTAGGTTAATTAGACCAACGACACGGGGAGTGGGCGATAGAGTTGATGAGGGCACATCGGATATAGCTCTCTAATTGAAAAATGTTATCGGAAGCATCAATGCGCACTGCCATTATTTTTAGTATCAAAAGTTGGGAAAAGAGAGAGGGAGAGCACGATTTATTCAAGGCTGACACTTTAATATTCTACATAGACACGCGCGTAGCGCAAATGGCCTATAAAAATACAAACACACACCCACACAGGGAGGCAAGACATGACTTTTGGGCTTTGTTTCAATGAAACCACTGGTTTTAACGACGCGCGGCAAACAAAATACCTAACTTTGCAAAACGAAACGTCGGATCGTATGCAACGAAACGACAACGATGAGTTTACCATTTCTTTGGATAAAGTACGCGCGCATAATTAAACGAAAACAATATACAAGCTCCACTAGGTATCTATGGAGGTTGTAATTGAAAGGAAACTCCCTTGCGCGCGTAAACTTGTCAAACAAACCTATACAGCTTGCGTACAATTTCGCCACTCCGAAGTGCGCGCGCGAGTACCAACAGTAACTTCCCATGTATCAAACTGAAATTCCATCCGGCGCCGACAAAGTACACACAAAGGAACGACGGATGATGAAGAAAAGGGAGGAGGAGCCCCAAGGGTATGTCCGATTAAACGCAAGCATCAACCCGTTGTTTCTACAGGTCGGCGTGGTGATGCCCTTTGGCACGTACCTCGAGCTGGCCGACGGCAGCGGTGGGCCCTCGTCGGGTCTCTGCGTCGTGCCCTACTGCGTCCTGATAACCCTGTGCAGCGTGAGCGTACTGGTGACCGTGGCCATAGCCGTGGATAGGCTCACCTCGCTGGCCCAGCCCCTCAGGTACAAGAACATCATCACCCACAGCAGCATCGAGAAGTACATAGCCGTTTTTTGGGCTTACGCCACAGTCGTCGGGCTCTCGCCTCTCATGTATCCCAAGGTTGCCGGCGCCGACGCTCAGGCTTACAGGTACTTTGTGGCTTGTTTTTTTTTTTTTTTTTTTTTTTTCTTCCTCCTATATGTACTCGGCGAGGGGGAGTCGTGAATTTATTATTGTTGTTTGTCGATCGAAGGAGCTGGGGATCGATCGTGTTCGCGAGGGGGTGAGGAGTAGCTGTACGGAACTCGTATGGGAGGGATCACTCGTTGGCGGGGAACTTTTGGCCCGGAAATAAAAGTTTGGCTTGGCTCGTTGGGGGTGTGCGGGACGACTTTTGCATCCCCTTTACTCGCATTGGGAGACGAGACGCCGATGCCATTAGCGCGATTTTTTGTACAACAGTTACTTTAACTAATTATTTATTCGAGAGAATACGCGAAATGCTATCACGTGTATGAAAAAGTCATTTTTCCTTTTAGTTGCTTTTTTTCGTTCTACTTTGACGCAGCAGTATCCCTTCGCAGTGACAAATACATTCTTCGAGTACCCACATATGTGTACAACGAAAACTTAGCCACAAAGTTCTCGTTGGAACTGGAGCTCAAACTAAAATAAATCCGCAGAAGCACCGCAAGAAACTTACGACAGAACTCGAGCGCAGGGGCGCTTTGAGGTGGTAGTTTTGAAATTCCTTTCAAACGGATTTCTCGGATCGAGTGGATTGGATTTTTTTTTTTTCGCACCCACCAAGTGTAAAATGAATTCCATGAATTACAAATAGACAGGTGTACTTTCAACAGTATAAGTGTATAAGATACACCGATATGTTTATCATAGAAATTACTCTTTTTGCCATTTTTTCAACTCGCAATCACAAAGTTTCGATCGGTTAATATTCTTATCTTAAAATCACTACTTTTTTTTTTTCAGTTACAAAATAAAATACAATTTTCGATCGATCCCTGGTTTTTCCTTCTTTACAAACCAAAAATGAGAAAATATCATCGGCTGCCCCATCAACGAATGGCATTGGTATTTATCAAACTTCTCGCCAATGGAACCAATAAAGTTGAAAGATCGAATGTGGGTCACTGGGTATAGGTAAGCAACCGGTTATAACAGGCAACACGAGAAACCAGTGAAGCAACGACGCGTTAAAATCACGAGCAGTGACTCGCGCACAATGCACCGTCAGCTCTGAAATTATAATCTCGGGTGTACACGTTTCTACGGTATACGCGTACACTGTGGAGCTCATCGGAGAGCACCGATCGCGGAACACGGAGCGATAACGGCAAAAAAAAAAAAGCGATAACCCCGTCGCGAAGGAAAAGCCACGCGATTACACTCGAGAGAGAGTTTTGTACGTGCATGACGATCGAGTCGCGATGGTGACGGGGTGGTAGTAACATAAAAGAGCAGTGGAGGGTTGCCATTATGTGCACACGCGCTCGTACGTGAGAGATTTTCGACGCGAGGGAGGTGCATGCAAACAAACGTGGGAGGAGGAAAATTCTCGGTGTAATATCACGTGTCACCTTCTTCAAGTAAGCCTCTGGTGAAATGTATAGGGGCTTTTGAGGGTGAAATTTTCGTTCAAAGTATTTTTTATACTACAATGTACAGAGACTGCGTACGTGTATGAAATTTTTGCAGAGGGATGCTGCAGGGTGTCGAGAGTACTTATCGGCAATCGACGCAAGATTGCAAAATTTTTGCTACTTTAGCCGTCATGAGTTATTTGTTTCGGGGCTTTTGGGGAAGCCTTTGGTAATTTTAGAGAAATTTAAGACTGGCTCGCTGTAGGCACCACCTATTTGTTACTTCTGATTACGTAATGTGTATGAGAGGTATCGACGTTTGTTGGCTCGATCAATTGCTTATTTTTTTCAGGGCATATGTTGTACGATTGACTTTTGGAAATACGTTACATGAGTAGTACAGGTATAATAAGAAAATCGAGCTTTCCGTTGGAGTTAAAACAATTACTCAATTACTGATTGCTCGATTTTTTTTTTTCTACAACATAATATTTATGAATTATGTATGAGAGTTTCAAAGTTATAAGATACCGCAAAAATTACTTGTTAATTGAGAGTATAACTAGGCCCATGATTTTACAGCCAAGGAAAATTTTATATTGTTTAAAAAAAACTTTGTACTTCAACATAAGTGTAAAAAAAAAAAAAATAAGCACAAGATATGCCTAGACTATTGATAAATATTGATAAGTTTGTGTCCACACAATTAGCCGTGGGGACTTTTTCAAATAAAAAAATTGATATTTTAAATATTTTTCATACGCACGTAAAAATACGTCTACGAATCTAATTTCTTACTTGGAAAAAAATCGAGAAAATTATCATACTTCCTGCATATATGCTCGGAAAAAAAATAGTTACCCGTGAGCATCTTCGATAAAGAAAAAAAAAACAAGTTTCAAAGTTCCACACGGTCGACCCATACGTGTCCCTATGCGTCACTCAGTGAGTCTTTGAATTCAATAGAGCTCCCCAAGTTAGAGCGTGCATATATTATACAACAGCACGTGCTACAGAATCTACGTATGCATGTCCAAGTGTCGATCCAACAAAACACCCATTCATCCCTTAACTCCAGCTACAATCACCCGTATGCTCGTGACTTGGTGCAACTCCACACGGCGTGAATAGGTACATCGAGTACTGCCCGTTGTGTGGCAAATATATACGCACCCCAGGGAAAACGATTGTCGGGAGAATTATTTACTTCGACACCACGCAGTACGTATATGGCGTGCCCAGCTGCTACACGTGCTCGCCATGAATTACTTATCATCGTATCCAACGATGCGAAAGAGAAGTTGATTTACAGCTCCTCTATTTTTTTTTTTTTTTTTTTTTTTTTACCGCCAATGCGAATGGGAGTTGGTTTCTGATGCACACCCGGGAGCTATACTGAAAGCTTTTTTGCGGGACGATTGTTTGTTCGCTTTGCCAGAGATGAAGTGTTTACTTTATGTTCATCATTGGCATGGAGATGTTTTTTTTTTTTTTTTTTTCTTCGAAGCACAAAAAAAATAAAGTCTTCGTAACCCATCCCGCCTCGCGTTGTCTCCCAGCTTCCAACGAGTTTTTCATGGGCCCGCAAATGTATGGAGTGTTGAGATAAATCTTCCGCGACTGTCACTGCGAAACGCTTATCCATATGTGTGTACACCTACGAGAAATGTACATGCACGCCCAGCGTCGACACACGCTTTTTTTTTCTATTTTCGTGTGTACGATGTATAAACATGAACTCCGACATCCACGCCTCCTTTTTCACACGCACACGTAGTGTGTCGTGGGTGTGAACTGCGTTTTTTTTAATTCCCTGGTTTTTTCGACTCTAAGCTTGCATTAGTTTTTTTTTTTTTTTTTTTTTTAATTTTGTTTTACTTGTCAGGTCAAAATAACATCGCTTTAATACTCGTCTTTGGCGTCATTTATCGTGTAAAGTACCGTTACTTTTTGACCAAGTGTCATAACATAAATGGAGTGCTATTTATCCATTTTTAATTAAAAATTAGTAAACTTATTTTAAAAATAAAGTGACAAGGGTATCTTTCATTGGATTGTTTTAACGAGTCACATGGATTCATTGCAGGATAAAAAAAAATGTAATTATGATATTTTATCTGCCCTGGAAATTAAAAGTCACTTCCTGCGATCTGTATTACTTGAAAGATTAGGTTTGAATTATCCTCTCTGCTGTTATGATTTATCTTGATTACCGCGGCTAAGAATTTTCTTTCCAGTTTTCAGAAAAAATACGTTTCAGTGAGTTTTTACGTCTTAAAAAGTTGAGGAAGCCATTGCAACTAATTTATTTTCTACGGGGAAAGTTTAAAACGGTGAAAAATAGCTGAGCAACACTAATTTTGGGATTTTATTAAATGATTTTTATTTTCGAAAGAATATTGAAAGAAAATTGAAAGAAAATTGAAAAATGTCAAGGGAAAAGAACACATACATACTTCGACACATGATTATTATTTTATGGTAAATATTGCATCATGTACTGTATCAAGCTTAAGTTTTTTACCTATAATTTAGTGCATCCCTGCATTGCAAGCCCACCCCTTGGTAAAAATAAATAAATCTACAAAATAATCTATAACTATTAAGATTGTCGTGAAAAAAACGAAAAACAATGAAAAAATTTCAGTGGCAGCTGTCGTTTCAACGGAGTGATAAAGCCGCCCGTGCGAGTCTTCCTGTTCTTGGCTGTGTGGGCACCAAGCGCCCTCATACTGATAGGTTGCTACGTGTACGTGTACCTGGTGGCACGAGCCCACGCCCGAGCCATATACACGGTCGAGCTGTCGTTTCGCAACCAAACGCAGACCCTGGCGCTGCCGCGGTACGGACAGACCCTCGCCGTCACCGTCGGCGCTTTCTTCATACTCTGGCTTCCCTTTCAGGTAAACAATGGTCCAAATTCATTGTGTGTACATGCATTCTTTTTTTTTTTTTTTTTTTTTTTTTTTTTTTTTTTTTTTTTTTTTTTTTTTTTTNTTTTTTTTTTTTTTTTTTTTTTTTTTTTTTTTTTTTTTTTTTTTTTTTTCATTTCCTTCGCGACAAAGAAGAAAATAAGTGGCCACTCGTATAGAGTTTTATTGTATCCATGAACCATTTAACAAGATGATGCCGTGACGTACACGCGGAATGTAATAAACCCCGGAGTATAACTATCCGTGAGAAACGTTAAATTCCGATGACGGTGGGGAGTTTTAACGCGAAAACAATTTCCGATTCGTAATGGCCCCTATACGTATATACTCGCTACAAAGTGCCACTGCAATTCCACTGTTCACGAGGGAACGACGATACTGCAGGCCCTCCTACGATTCGCGACACGTTTCTATATTGGGTACGATAGTTGTTCCGTACCCTCCTCTGTATATCCCGACGTCCATTGTTCTCGGTTCAATTTTGTCATCGAAACGTCATACTCCCGGGACTCCGGATCACTGGCGCGGATGTTTATTGCGAAATCAGATTGGCATACCTCCATCATTCGTCGTCCACTCCGAAGATCATAACAAAAGAGAGAAGGAGAAAGACGATAAGCATTTTACGAACGCGTCTACAATGGAGTTTTCTTCCCCTTCCCGGGCTCCAATCGATCTCCTCTCGAGCTGTTTTTCGTTATGCCATCTCGCGCCCCTCCTTCTTTTCCACCGTGGAGTCGAGAGAGAGAGAGAGAGGCGCTTCAAGTGTCGAGCCAACCGAGGGGGGAAAAAAAGGCTGACTTTCTTAATCGAGCCAGGTGGGCGTGGGGTGAGAAAGGCAGCTCGCACTTTATCGCGCTTCCTCCGCGTTGTATTAATCATTTTTTCCTCTCTTTGTACTCCGTCTCCTTTTGCACTCACCGCGTATACAAGTGCACGCTCTCTCGGTCGTTCAATTTTAATGCTCCTCATTGGTTCGCGCCAACTATTGTTGCCGGGGCTTTTTCACCTCGGCAAATTGTCACGCCATACTGTGGGCTTTATCGAGGAACGGTTAATCCGATGCTTTGTCATTTACTTTGTAATTGGAAGCTTTTCTCGATTGAAACGCAAAACTGGTTGGTTTAATTGAAGAAAAAAAAAAAAATAATGCTGCGCGTAACCATATATATTTCAGACGTGCATGCTGCTCGACACCTTCTTCGGCACGAACATCCTGTCGGAGTGCACGGTCTGGCTGGGGCTGCCGATTCTCGCGCACAGCGGCACCAACCCCTGGATCTACGCGTTCCACCACGGCGAGATCCGACTTGCCGCGGGCAAGGTAGCCGAGGACCTGGTCTCCCTGTTCGGGGTGACGCCGAGCCACTACTACGGCTGCTCGCCGACGCGCCGCGGCTCCCACACGAACCTTGAACTCGCCGAGGTCAACAGCAACGAGGAGCGCCGCCCGGCTGTCGAGGACTGCTTCGCGGCCAAGCACCTCCACCACCAGCTGCTCCTCCAACGGGGCACCATATACTCGAGCAAACGGGGCCTCGAGCTATCGACCCACAGCTGCCGGCTACCAGACAACGACCGCCCGACACCAGACAGACCCAACGCCGACAGAACCGTCGCCCTCGACGAGGACATCCACGAGCTGACCAAGATGCTCGAGCCCAGGCTCGTCGCGGACCCGAGCCACTCCGTGGACAACGCCAACACCAGTAGAATCAGGAATCTCAAGTACCTGCTCGACCCGACCTTCCTCAGGATCCGGCACCTCGGTAGGCTCAATTGCCACAAGCGCGTCCCCCCAGCCACCAATAAGGCGAGAGGCACGTCCCGATTCCATGTCTCCTACCAGCACCTCGAGATGGGCGGCAGGAGCAACAAGCGCCGGGCCACGGTCTACCTGAACGCCATGTCCGACCCGGCGCTCAACGCCGACAACGACGAGGACGACGAGGACGACGAGGAAGACGGTGTCTACGGCCACAGGTGCCAGTCCCTGCAGGAGTACCTCCGTGGCACGAGCCACAAGCCTTCCAATCTTTCTTCGGTGTCCGACTCGAACATCAGCTGCGGAGCCAGGGCTGCCGAGACGACCCGCAAGCACCCTTGCCTGGTCGAGAGGGGCCACCATCATCATTACCGGCCCAGCCACTTGGCGGAGCTGCATCGCGCCCGTAGCGTCAGGTGGTCCTTTTCCTGGGCCCGACGGGCGCGCCAGCGCTACCTGGGGCCCATCAAGTGCCGCGACCTACTCCCCGCGCGCTCCACACCTTCCCCGCTCGAGCTGTGCCCGCCGAGCAGCCCACGGCTCACGATAACCCCGAACCGGCTGGCGAGTCTCGTACATCGGCAACGCGACTGCGTCCCGTCGGCGTCGCTCCTGGAACCATCCTCGGGCCTGATGGACTGCAGGCTACAGGTGCCGGCGATACGCTCGGAGCCGCCCAGTCCGATCGAGTCTCTCCAGCGCAACCTCGACTCCCTGCAGGAGGAGGATGGCAACAACAACAACAACAACAACGCAGCTGGCCGCCGTTGGCTCGGCAGCCCCACGAGGCACTCCGACCCGGTGGTGCCCTCGGTTCTTCTGAACATCGAGGACGACGGTTGGTCGAGCATCCATAACAGCAGCTCGCCGACCGTGCCCACCAGTCCCAAGGAGCTGTCGGAGCTGCTGCTGATGCGCCTGGCCGGCGTCGAGCCCGCGGTGGTGCAGCCGAGCCCCAACATTGGGTACGAGCGGGCCTTCCGGGAGCACGACTGCGCGACGAGGTTCAGCTCGCGACGGCCCTCCGACTCGCGCTGGTCCGAGTCCTCGCGCAGCCAGGAGGTGCTCTCTTGCAGCGCCACGTCCACGGAGCCGTTGCCCCAGCTCGCCCGGCGCTTCCCCTCCTCGTGCTCGGTCAGCCACTTTGACCACCTCAGCTCCTCGTCCAGGTGCCTCGTCGAGCCCTTCTTATGCTCGGACGCGGCGCTCACCTCGTCGCTGCGCGAGTCCTTCTTTGGTGGGGCTGTCTCGATGCCCGACTCCGAAGACACCTTTACCTGCTCGTTCGACGACGATGACGACGCTGCCGTGGCCGGTGACGAGTCGTCCTCTGTGACGACGACTCCCGAGCCACTGGTCGAACACCAGCAGCAGGCATCGGCCACGAGGCACGGCAAACAGGGCCCAACGAGCTCGGCGTCGAGCGTCAGTTTGTTGGTGAAACGACCGGTGGGGGTGCACCGTGGGGTGCAGCTTGAGCTCCAGAGCAGGTCGACCGAGTCGATTTTGCGGTCCAGGGGGGAGCAGACCGAGGGCGTATGCGCCATACTGAGGCTCGACGATGGCCTCTACCGGAGCAGGCCGAGGCTCGTGGTCGCCGGTGGATGCAACAGCCTGAGATTGGCGCCCCTGGCCACCCCCACGCCCACGGACGACGTGCTCCTCCAGTGCACGCCCACCCTCGACGTGACCCTCGTCGCTGAGCTCAAGACCGGCGAGCCCTCGCCCCTTGGCGTCCGCGTCTGACTTTTTGTGTGATCGCACCTGTGTCGCGGAGACTGTTTTTACTCGTTAGTAAACGGAGGGTACGTTCGATTCTCTTTACCTTTTTTTTTTTTTTTTTTTTTTTTTTTTGCAACGATGAAACGTATATTTAATTGATCTCTACGTGTGTAGGTATATTCGCGTTACAAGAAACAAATTTTAATCGCAGACGCCTGACATTGCCAAACGAGTGAGTCGGCAAAGATTGTCCGGTACACAGCGGCGCTGTTGTTTGTGGTTTTCCGAGCGCGACTCATCCATCGCGTGATTAACGTTGAGTCGGTCGTAATTATACATCAGCAAAGAGCCGCCCCGAAAGCGTAAGCAAAGCAAACACACCACCCAATATCACGTAATAACCTCCTCGTAGTAATTAATTTTGGTCCAACACAACAAAGAGTAAAAAAAAAAAAAAAAAAAAAAAAAGATCTGCGTGATCGGACGAGCTCTTCCGCGTGTCAAAGACCCCGATTTACGTAAGCTCGTTTACTTTCCGGGCTCGGTCGTTGCGTCGCGTGGCAATCATTTTCCATGCCGACGGCTTGTATTATAGAGGGCGAAACGGGGTATTAATACGTGTAATGGTTGAATGCACGCCGGCGTGTGACGCGGGCTGAACTTGGCTGTTTTTCTTCCCTCCCTCCCTCTCTCTCTCTCTTCATCAATGTTGCATTCAAGGCCAACCGTGACGTGAATTCTATACCTAGTGCATATGTGCCCACGCGTATGGTTGTAACACTCGTTCGACGAGTCAATGCATACAAATTTCTTACTTTTCGCGCCTCGCCTTGTTTTTTTCCCTCCCCCCCCCCCCCCCGACGCTGCTCTTCGTGTGGGTTGGTTCGTACAATACCGTAGATCCGTGGCTTGGACCTGAGAAATCGCGAGCCAATGCAGCACTCGAGCCAATCCTATTCTTCTTCTGCTGAAGTAAAACGTCGTCGGCGTAGAATTTTCACGATATTTCAGAATCGAGTTATTCCCTTTCTGAAAATAAGTGTGACGTCCCTTGGTTTTTGCCTTTGAAAAATAGTTTACGTGCGTACAACGAATGAATAATATATACACGGTAAAATAAAATTGAATCTTCAATTTTAAGAGGAAAAAAAACTTTGACTCTCAAATCTCTCTCTCTCTCAACTTGAGATTATGTATACAAGTTCGAAATTTTTTTTTTTTTTTTTTTTATTATCAATTGTTTTTATGGCTAATAATTTATAACTCTTGGCAAATTTGATATCTTTCGTTTAATTATTTATCAATTTGGTTCCCTCGCCGAGTACAGAGTTTGTAAGAATTGGCTGTCACGGTACAATACGCGGATCCACGCGTGTCTGACCATACCGAGTTTGTACTACTGTACGCCTATACACAACATTATCGCAACGCAAACGAAGGGCTACTTGTAAATTAATTAAAATACAATACGCGCAAGTGAGCTACGAACGCTTTATTCGATCCGTTTGAAAATTCCATCGGTCCTTCAATACCACGAAATAAACTTTACGAGAATTTAACCTTCGAAATGATTCGATCATCAGCGGAGCCGTAACCGGAAACTTTTAAAGCTTTCTCTCCTACTTCGTGCCGATATACCTATGTATCTGCAGTCGAGGGAGAAAGAGAGAGAGAGAGGGAGGAGGTGTAACGCGATTTATGAGCGAGAGAAAACGGCGGCGGCTCCGACGGGGTGTGCATTAGCGTTTATGCGCTATTTCGCGCGTTGGACGTGAAATTGTTGCTTGGCAAGGAATAAGACGGTGAGTTAAACGTGCGTACGATGGCGCGCGTGAGTACTATAGGCGTGCTGTTTTAATGAAGCGCATTACTCTTGTTCGACAGGTACATGTATCTTCAAGTTTGATCTCATACTCATTCGGGATGTGGGGGTGGTGTGTTTTGTCGTGGATAAATGCGCGCTCAAGGTATGAAAATACGAAGCGAAGCTAAAAGTTTTTTTTTTTTTTACGCGTACAGATATGTGATGGATTTCTGTTTTTCAGTTGTGTGAGTTTGTAAGAATCGTGTGTGTCTTACTGGCTGTTTTTTTCCACTCAATTTTACTAATCTTTAAAAATGTTAAATTATTATATGTTCTTGCACTGCTCAACGTTAACTTGCTTTTGAAATTTTTTGCTTTCGCAGATAACCGGTACTTACACTGTTATTTTCTCTTGTGACTTTTTGGAAATATGACGTAACAAATTGATCCATACGTTCGATTGATTTTTATCGAATTTTTTACTTTCTATTTTTTTGTTGACTACATTGTACTTTTGTCATTCGTGAAAATTATATTGTTCCTTGACAAGCAGCTTTCCGTAAGAAACGAATGCTATGATATTTCGCAAGTCTGTTGAAGCAGTATTAAGGACATGAACTTTGAAATACTTTTTTTTTATACGTTTGAAGGAACAAAAGGGTCGAGCGTTGCGTGCTATTGAACATTGGACTGTGATAGAATAATTCATTCAACACGATTCACGAGAAATCCAAAGAAACTCATTGTAAATAAATTAAAAATGGATAATATATTATGTGTTTGAAAGTATAAATAACCCTATATATACGGCGATGTGCGTGCAGTGGGTATAGAATTGAGCTGTCGGAGAAGAATACATATACACATATATACGTATGCATACATGGCTGCCTTGGTATATATAACGTATATATATGTACAGCAGCAGCAGCAGCTAATTCATATATAAAAAGGAGCCAGCCGAGAACTGCGGGAGCAAAGAGTGAGGCGAGAGAGAGGCCCCGAGGTATATTTACGAGGTGGACCGAGAGTCAGTGGGTATATACCTCGGACTGTGATGCCGTTGGCCAATCAAAGGGACCGACTTTACGGGCCCGCCGCCATATAACGTTTATAACTCGGAATATCTGACATCTATATAAGCGAGCGAGCGAACAAGTGGTTTATAATATACACATATATACCCACCCCTACACCGATATCGCGGTTCCAGCGACGGCGAGCACGCGCTGCACAAGTATACCGGGTCCGCGGCTGATGCTGATACCGATCCTACATCCTTGTGTACCTGTACACGTGCAATGAACTCTGAAATCTCTGACGGCACCAACATATACAAACCATACTGTACATGCCGTGGTGTTGGGCTGCCCCCGCTGGGCGACAGCGCACCTCTCGCCGCTTGACTCCTACTCGATATTATTAGCAGGGAGCCGTGATCCTGGGTCCTCCTTGTGCGTACGATCGTTATGTATACCTATCCTACCTATAGCTTCCCTCCTTCAAGGATCAAGATGTAAAACACCATCGCTGTGGTGTATTTAATTATTTATTTTTCGCCAACCGTATTAGCTGGGTGCCGGCAATGTCACAGCTGATACCGTCCCCAATTCCGTATACCGTGTAAATGAGGGCTGTCAAAGTGTAATAGGCACATCTATGTGGAAGAGGACGAGTTTCCTCCTCCTCCTTCTTTGCCGTACAATCGAGTAGCCCCATGCATAAGCTGCACTGTATATGTATATATACTTACGTGTAAGTGGTGTATATAACCATAAAATTTCCACGTAGCGCGTCGTCCGGCCGAAAAAAATATAATACATGTTTCGAGAAACCAAAAACATTCCCGGCAGACCGATAACGAGATCGAACCAAAAAAAAAAAAAAAAAAAAAAAAAAAAAAAAAAAAAAAAAAAAAAAAAAAAA